AAAAAAATAAACAGACACAAACTAAACAACAACAAAAAGACAAGCAAAAAACAGGTTTTCTCTTTTTGTATTAGTTCTTTGTATACAGCTGGGACTTCCTGCTACTCAAACTCCAGAACCAAACTCGTATGCAAAAATTTCTCATGAACTCATGTTTTATTTTCATCCTAAGAACTCATTGTCTGGAATTTAAGAACCATATGGATTTTAGGAATGGAGATAGTTTTTACTATAAATACAAGAGTTTCTGATCCTTTGTTTTACTAAAAACACAGCGACTTTCTGATCCTGTTCCCTTATTCATTTTTTTATCTTAGAAGAGCAGTTATTTTGTTGGAAATTTATTTTCAATTAAAGTTGTTTATAAAATGTAGAGTATCAGAAAAATACTTAATCAGTAGCATTTTAAAAGTTTGAGATGACAGTGTATTTGATAACCTAATAGCAATTTCACAGAAAAAAAGCATACAGTGTGTGACCTTTTAAGTGATAAAAATCGAAGCTACGTCAGATTATTTTGCCAGAGTAAGGCAGATTCTTCTGCTTATTTCAAGTGAACACTATAATACCCTTATTCCCCACTTTTATAGCTCAGTAAACAATTTGTTTTTTATGTCCTTGTTGTAATTGCCACTTTTCTTCCCTGCTTTGTCATTCTCTACACTGTCCCCTGACATCAGAATACTATATATGACTATTCTGGTGTGTTGATCAGATACATGTCTTCAGCGGACTAAACTTGTATCTTCTTTCTTTGAGCAGGAATATTCAACGAAGCAGTTGACCAACCTGGTAAATGTTTGCCTGGGATCCCACATCAATAAGAAAGCCAGACAGAAACTTCTAGCAGCTATAGATGATATAGACAGACCTAAAAGATAATGAACACGGCAGTACCTGCATCATGGCGGCAGCCTTCTCTCAGTGTATGACACAAAAGCCAGTTTTTCATGCACTCTTAACAGTTATTTGCTCAGAAAACTTTGTGCATGTTCTTCTCAACTGGAAAATGGAAAACACTGAAGTATGTGTGATGGTGTTCTCAAATGACTTTTGTACCCATTGGTCTCCTCTCTTCAAGTTTTGGTCCCACCTGTTGTAATCCTTTCCTGAAATGCTATTATTGCTTCATTAATAACTATTGGTATGTGACTACAGTTATATATTTTGCAGAAGAATGTATCATAGATATATAGCTAGAAGAAATAGTGGCTAATATATGTGTGAACAGTTTTTGGAGAATGAATTGATGTTGACTCTTTTTATCCCTTGAATGTGGTTCTTAATAAGCATGAGAGGATTAATGTACAGTATTTCATAATTATGAGCACTGCATGAATATTACAAAGCGCATGTAAGTAAAATAGTTGAAAAATCAGTATATTCTGTTTTTAAATGTCAAAAGTTTATGTCAGAGTTAATTTGGATATAAAATGATCATAAATGATAAAATTTAATAAATACTATACTCTAAAATGATCAGTCTGTGTGAGGCTGCATTTTATTTTTACCTTGCAGATTTTATGATGCTATAATGTAATTTTAAAACATGTTTTAATTGTAGTTATTTTATATTTTAAACCAGTGGTGAGAAGTAATTTCACTGCATATACTTTTTCATTTTCTAATACGGTTTCTTTTATCTTTCTTTATAAAAATACAGAATAACTTTTATACAGATTTTATTTGTAAGTTCTGCTTTTGTCTTTGGGCAACAAAACCCTGATAGACTCCCCAAGGAAAGAACAGTCTTTTAATCAAGCCTAACTATAGGGCCATGTGTTCACCTTTCTTAAATATCTGTTTTGTAACCCAAGTGCAAAACACTGTGTGTATAGCCAGTGATGAATTTTAGAGTGCAGGTGTAGTAACTGTACTGTCCCTCTAAACTTTCCACAAGCTGTGTTTTTTTACAGTATATATGAGATATGAAAATCAATTTCCTATTTATGTGTGTTCTTTTTTTTTTTTTTTAACATTTTTTGCAGGGTCTCACTACACAGCTCAGACTCTTAGTGATCCTCCTGTTTTCAGTCTCCCCAGCACTGGGATTAGAGGCGTGCGTCACCATGCCCAGACTCAGTTGCCTGGCTCAGAGCGGCCATGGGTGGGGCTGGCGCAACATAGGTTGCGGGGATTGCACCCCAGGCCATGTGTTAGCCTAGGCAGGTGCTTAGTCCACTGAGCTATCTCACCCGCCCTGTGTATGTGTTCTTTATGACTCATGAATGGGAAATATCTTGGCTGGGTGGTGTCGGCCCCAGGATTACTGTGCATGATCTAGAGCATCGTTACTCATGGGATCCTGAAGCATTATGTTAGAAACAGGCTTTATATCCTGGGAGTCTGAGGTACTGAAATGAAGGTGACAGCTAGCATTCACTGTCCATCCTGCAGATGTCCAGAACTGGCACAGTGTCGCACGAAGCGCTTTTAGCTTGTTCTGTACTTGCATGTTTATGTGTGTGTCTGGACAGTATGTTTTCATTTCCAGCCTTGCACTTCACACTTCATTTACTGTCAGTTTGAAAAGATGAATTTATTGTTGTTGTGATCTGCTTGTGATACCGGATTGTGTACTTAGAAAGTAAATTTGCCTGTAGCTCTTTTATCTACACGCAGGCACTTGAGGAAAATAAACATGAGATAAGCTTGGTCCTCGTGTTTAAAAGGCATATTCAGCTGAGCACATAAAGAACTAATCAATCTTATTTATTTCTCAGTTGATCAGGAGCTGCTCATTCCTTCTCCTTTTACATGGATTTTATGGTGGGATCCCATTAATTTCCACTTTAGTTGACTCTAGATAAAATGAGCATGGATTACGGCCTGATGGAGCTTGGTACTTTGCAGGGTAACAGGGCTTGATACAAAAGAATTACTTATCTTCTTAGATAAGAGACTCAAACCACATTGTCTGCTAGATCTTTTAGCCGCTCCTTCTTTTGCTTTCACCATCTTCAAAATAAAAATGGTAAATCTCAACACTGCTTGGAAAAGGCTTTGTTTTTGCATTCAAGTATGGCTTAATGAGAACATTAAAACTGTTAACAAGAGATTTGAATCATGAAAATTACTTAATAAAAAGAAAGTTACCGGACATATCTCGAATATATTAGGCAGTGATACCAAATTACAACATGACATTTTGTAAAAATAAGTTTAATATGAATGGAATTGAAAATCTGATAAAGCAAATAGAATTATATGTAGTCTACAGACGATTGTAGCTACTCAAAATTTCCTTTGAAGTCTTAAGTTTTCCCAAACGTTGACATTTTATATAAAAATATCCTATAGAATTTAAGATTTTTTAGGGCCGGCAAGCGCAAGGGCCTGAGTTCAATCTCCGGTTCCAAAAAAAAAAAAAAAAAAAAAAGAGAAAGAAAAAGGAATTTTTAAGTTGATGTGAAAGCTTGGTAAGTTAGTATCCTCTGAGAAAATATGATTACTTATACAAATTATTATTTTGCATTAAAAATGCTAGGAATATAAGTAACAAAATGAACTAACTTGCTTCTGTTGTTTTTTTTTTTAAGTAAGACATCTCATAAGTTCATTTTAACAAATAAGCTCATTTACCCAGCCTACAAAATTCATTTCTATTGAAACCAAGACCATAGTGTATTTTATCATACCTTTAAGCAGAAGTTTTTAAAATTTCTATTTAGATGAGTGGTAAGGTGAACTTTAAGTGAGATTAAGCAGATTTTTCTTTATTCATTCACTGAAAAGCAGTTGTGAAAAGGATTTGAATTTAGTTCGCTTTGAAAGCATGATTATCTTTTATAATAAATAGTTGGACCTAAAAGTGAATAAAAGGGCTCAAGTGAATTAGAAGTAGGTCTGGAGAAGGAGTGGATATATTTGGAGTAATTGTGATACAGACTTCCTGGTTCCCAAAATAACAAAGTGATACTTATATCTGGACAGTAATTCATGACAAGATTACTGGTACTCTGATGTGATGAATGCAAATGTTAAAACTGGTTCAGTTTTCTATAGACTATTTTCTTATGGAAAATATGTGGTTCATCCTATCTTCATAAACTTTTCGAGGTCATCAGAGGTTTTACTCTCACAAGGGCAAAAATGTGTCCAATTTATGCTTAGGTATTTTTAATTAGTTCAACATGAATAGAGGAAAATAGTTCATTAGCATTGGTGTCCTCTTGCCCAGCACATCCTTTGGGAATATTGATAAATAGACTTTGATCACGCAGTTTTCAACTCGAAGCAGCACAACTAAATGTTCCTCAGACTCCCTCTAGGATTGTACGGTATTGATGTGATTAGTAGACATTCTGGGGGCGTTGATTTCCAAGAAGAGCCATTTTCATGAGTTATTTCAATGATCACTTTTCAGTCTCAAGAGTGAAGAGACTTGGCCTGCTGAGGATTCCCAGATTTGCTCTTAGGAAAAAGTTCTTCACACAGAGCTGAACCTTTCTGTCCAGCGAAGGAACTTTTATTTTTATTTTGTTTCTCCCTGATACCTTGTTTCTCTATCTATCAGTAACTAGGAGAATTTTTATTTTAAAGAATAGATATTTCAGGCTGTAGGCATTTTATACTCAGCAATCACAAGGACAAGCACACTATTTGCTTTTAAAGAGGGGCCTTTGTAGTCATGGTTTCTATTTTGAAAGTGCATCCTTCGATCTGTACTGAAGTGTGATTAATCAGATAACTATTGGGAGATAATTTTTGCTTACTCTCTGCTTTATACCTTTTTTTTCCCTATAATTTCTACCTGCTTCCTAATTAGACTTATTTTTAAAGAACTGAAGCACAGTTTTTTTCTGTGAAATTTATCCTTAAGGATAGACATTATGAAAAACAAAAACAAAAAACAGGAATAGTGGTGGTTGCAGAAGGCCTACTATATGGGAAACTGGGACCAGCCCTGTGGTGGGTGGGTAGTGTTGCAGACAGAATACTAAGGGCAACTCTGCAACTTAGGTGGAGGCTCTAGTCAGAGAACAGTAAAGAAACCAGGGTGGTCCTTACAGTAAGTGGGACTGCACAGTGTGGATGTGGGAGAGGGGTCATAGAGCCAAAGCCTGTGACTCATGGAAAGGGCTTTGGGTTTGATTTTTGAGTTGGAAGCATTTGGAGGGGTATTAACATAGATAGAGTGGCGACCTGATTGATGACTTTGATTTTAGCAAGATCACTGTGTATTTCAGAAAAGACCATAGAGGAATGCGCCCCAGATCAAGGAGACAAGGTGGGAAACCAAGACCCAAAGTTTGACAGGCATGATAATGGCCAAAACTGCAGGACCGGTAGAAACAATGTGCTGAGAGGTGGTCAGAGTCCAGACTTGCGGTTTGTTGCTTGGTGGAATATTTGAAAAAAGAATTAAGGGTGACTTACGATTTGGTTGAGGAGATAGAGGTCTGAGAGGCCTACGATCGTGAAGGTCAAGGCAGTTTGGGGCAGGGAAGTTGGAGCTACTGTGCAAGTGAGGTATGCAGGATACAGCTGTAGATACACTCTGAAGTTGAGCGTGTCAGCTGTAAGAGGCAATGTGGAGTCTTCACGATGTATCCAAAAGCCAAGCTCTATAGGAGGCGGAAAACCATACTGCAGTCATGAATATTAATGAATATTGGTTAGGCATTTTCTGCTACTTTAGAGTCTGTTCTAAGTATAGCTCAAGAAAAACTCTATTCCACACGGTGAGCTCAGGGGAAGGACTTCTTGAGGAAACTCAAGCCTGGGACGGCCAACGAAATGGAAAAGGAGAAAAAAGACACTGTCCTTTCCCTTTGCTGTTGTCACCATGGCAGGCAAGACAGGATCAGGATACTGTACGGGAGAGATGTTTTTCTAAAATAATATGAGAGCAACTTACCACCTAGGGGCCCACCTTGTTGTAGACCAGGTTGGAAAAAGGAAGTCATAGCTGGTAGATGTGTTCTAGCTCTCACTGCTTGTCATGCAGGCAGGATGCAAGCTCCACACAGTGCTGTTCTGGAGCCTCTCCTGTATCCCACTGGCTGTTGTTTCTGGGACCACTGTGGTGGGTAGCGCAGACAGTGCCTGCTCTCAGGGCACTGAGGTCTACAGGCTAAACCTGTAAACATTCTATGGTGTGCTGAGGAGAATTCCGAAGGAAAGGTCTGGGAGGGAGGTCAGGAGAGACTTTGCTGAGGAAGAAACACTCAAGTGGAGACAGAGTAGGAGTTAGGTGAGGAGGCACAGCGCAAGGGGTTCTGAAATGTCAGTGTGGTTGCTTTTTAAAAAAATTTATTTTGAAGATGAATGAAACAAACAAAAGAACAAAGACAAAAAAGTGGCACAGAATTTCAAAACAAGAACAGGATATTAACAATGGTTGTTATATTACATATTGGCATCATCAAATTTGTTGCTCAGACTACCAGATATAGGCATGTAAGACTGATCGAATAATTAAAACATTAACTCTTACCATCAACCTTGAATTTTTTGTCCCTTTTGTTTTTAAAATTTGT